AACCTGCAAAAGATTGGAGTCCCTTTGGGTGTGAATTGAGACGAGATGAGGTAGTGAGTGGGGTCTTTCAACTTGCTGGAGAGTAATATCAGCCAGGGACCTTGATATTACTATGTAATTGGAAGAGAAGAAGTCGCTAAGACGTCGCGGGGTGGGGGTGGGGGGGCACTTTCTGGGTGGCCCGTGAATGGGCTTTGGGGATGCGACCGAAAACCGAGGAGCGAGTCGGAGAAGAGTAGTTTAGACGCGAAGAGGAACCACGGTCTGTCGACACCTGTCTCCCTTCACCAGGGGTCCACAGTCCAGCCATTACTGCGTGGATTGTCCCCTTGGGGACAAAACCCTCCCGACTTGTTCCAGGGTTTGCGGGCTGGTGTGGTAGGGGGTCCTGGCTCCTTCCAGGCTCCGAGCTGTTCTAGGAGGAGGAGGCCAGAGTAGTTCTTTCCATTTTCCAGACGAAGGCACTGAGAGGCCCCGCCGGGTGCGTGCAGGAGACCGGTGGGTGAGCGGCACCAGAGCTTGGGCTGCTAGCGGTGTCCAGGCTGCTGAGGCCCTCCAGAGGCGGCCGGGAGCACCGCTTGCATTTGAGGTCTCTGTGGACTGGTGTTTTATCCACGTTTTTTTTTCAACGCTGCCTTTCTAAGGAGCCTTTTAGACATTTTCCCCCCCTAAATGCCTCTCCCACTGAAATTGGGATATACCATTTCATGAATATACTGTTTATGTATCATGGCACTTGGGTATGTTACAAACCATTGTAATATCTAAGATTTTTTTGCCTCCTGTTGAGACTACATCCTGTAGACCAGAGTTTCTCATCCTCCACAGTCCTGTCATTTGGGGTTGTATAATTCTTTGTTGTGCCTTGTGGGACATTTAACAGCATCCTTGGCCTTAACCTGTTAGGTGTTTGTAGCACCCACGGCCGGACAGAGCCAGACATTGCCCTGTGTTTCCTGAGGGACACCCCTCTCCCCCACCGTTGCTGACAACCACTGCTGTAGACAAATCCAGAGGAAGTGAACATCCCCTGGCCAGTCCCACCTCTTAGGTGGAGGTGGCAGTGGTCATAAAGTTAATTGAATTGGCATTTTTTTCCTACTCATTTTGACATATTTTCTATTTTAGTACTTACTGCCTTGTATTGTGATTATTTTTGATATATTTGCCAGATCTTCCCCCGAGACCAGTCTAGAGGATAGGTTATTTCAGAGCCAAAGTCATACCCCCAGCTCCAGTATAGGGCCTGGTGGAACCCTCAAACATATGTTAAATTAGTGCCATGAATGAAAAACAGAGCTTAGAGCTCAGGTCCTGGGGTTCTGGTCTCAGTGGGTCATTAACTCAGGTATGACTCACCTCAGATGATTTCCTGACATTTAAAATAAGGGGCTAAGTCATCTCTGTGATCCCGTCCAGTTCAAATACTGCTTCAGAAGTCCATGTGATGTGTGTTAAAGCTGTTATGTAATCAAGGTGGTAGTTAAGACATTATGTTGACATAATGCAGACTGCTCTTCTAGGGCCTTAGGTGATATGTCAGAAATAAATGACAACTCCAGAGACTTTTACGATGAAGCTGAAGAACATACGGCCCCTCGGTGTTGTTCCCATGGGTGTTGGATGGGTGTTAGTCTCATTTTCCAGATGAAAAAAATCAAGGCACAGAGACATTAAGCCTGACTGAGACTGGGAGCCAGGTCTGTCATTTCAAGAGCTAGACCTGGGACCTCAGGGTCCATCGTTGTATATCATGCCCCAGCCTGCTCATTGTAAGTCTTGAAAGGTCTTGAAATCATTGGCATCGTGAACAAAATGTGCCACCCTCTCTCTGGTCAGGCCTGTTGCTGAGCATCAGTTTACTCCCACAGTCAAATGGGAATAAGAGAACCCATTCTGTCGGATGGCCTGCTGGGTGAGAAAGCACTGGACATACACATGTGTGGCATTGTCGTTACAAGAGTTTGTTGGGTGAGGCGCCTGGGTGGCTTAGTCGGGTAAGCATCTGACTCTTGATTTCGGCTCAGGTCATGATCTCACAGTTCGTGACTTTGAGCCTCGCATCGGGCACTGCACTGACAGTGTGGAGCCTGCTTGAGATTCTGTCTCTCTCTTTGCCTTTCCCTCACCCATGCTCACTCTCTCTCTCTGCTCTCTCTGTACATTAAAAAGAGATTCAAACTCATAACATAGTTAAAAAAAAAACAACACAAGGGTTTGTTGGGCACCAGACAGGCAAAGAAAGAATGACAGAACTCTGCCTTGGGTGTCTTCTGTTCTGGATAGGATCCAAACACCACCCAAACAGCCACAGTGCCTAGCATTTTGTGGTCCTTGTCTTGTTTTCCTTGTTTTAGGGATAAGGAAACAGACAGTGGGTCTAATAACTAAGCCTCGGGTCTGCAGCTAGTGAGTGGCTCTCAGGCAGAGCTGAGTTTGAAGCCGAGCTTCGATATTATTACAACCTTGGACTTTATGTAAATCCCTTACCCTCTCTGAGCCTCCATAGCCTCATCATTAACATAGAGACAGTCACATTCACCCCTTGGGGTGCTAGTGTTCATGCAGTCACTCAGCAGTGATTTATTGAGCTCTTCCCATGTACCAGGCACAGGATACTGCGTGAAACAAGCAGACGAAGTCCGACCTGCACTCTAGCTGGGGTGGCTGGGGTGACAGAAGGCACATCCAGGGCCTACCTCAGGCCTGGTAGAGAAGATGTGCTCAGAGTACTCATGGGTCAGGGCTCAGGGGGCTCTGCCCGTATCTCTGCCTTACTCCCTGTTGCTAGTGTCCAGTTGCTTGAGGGCTGTCACTGGCACGAGGGCCTGTTTTCAGCTGTACATGACCGATCTGAAGTGCCCAGGGAACAAATCCTCTCCTCCACCCAGAAAACCATAATCAGTGACTGGTGAGGTTTGCAGGTATGTAGCCCAGCTCACTACTTCTGGAGTAATAACTGAGGCACCAGTAGGATTGAGCTCCACTTGTCCACCATGGTCACTAACTTGATGGAGCATTCTTTATTAGCTGCCTCCCACCCGTGACCCACTCCCCCACTCCCTGCTGGTGTCTCCTGGGATCACCTTCCAAAGGAATGCCCTTGAATTCTGGTGTCAGCATTGGCTTCTGAAGAAACCCAAACGAAGACCCATGGCCCCATTCCACTCCTGAGAGTTCTGGGGCCTGAGGCACAGAGCAGGGGCTCTAAGCAGCTCTAGAGAAGGGTGGCTGTGACGTGTGGCTGTGGTGGTTAGCCAGGAGTTTCTATGGCCTAGAGGTTGGAGAGGGCTGGAAATGAATATTCTGAGCCCTGCTGGATGCTAGCTCTCTCCCATCATTGTTCTCATTTTACACATAAGGATGCTCACAGAGGTTCTGTCCCGTCAGTGTCCCACAGGTCAGAAACCAGACTATTCAGGGATTCAGATCTAAGCAGCCTGACTTTAGAGAAAGGTTTCTTTCCTTTTTTTTTTTTTTAAAGTTTATTTATTTATTTAAGTAATCTCTACGCTCAGCATTGGGGCTCAAACTCACAACCCCAAGATCAAGAGTCACATGCTCTACCAACCGAACCAGCCAGGCGCCCCCTAGAGCAGGGTTTCTTAATTGCAGCACTGTTTTAAAAAAAAAAAACTTAAAAAAAAAATTTTCTTTTAATGTTTATTTATTTTTGAGAGAGAGAGACACAGAGTGCAAGCAGGGGAGGGTCAGAGAGAGAGGGAGGCACAGAATCCAAAGCAGGTTCCAGGCTCTGAGCTGTCAGCACAGAGCCCAACGTGGGGCTTGAACCCATGAACCGTGAGATCATGACCTGAGCTGAAGTCGGCACTTAACCAACTGAACCACCCTGGCACACATAAAAAAAATTTTTTTTAATTTATTTATTTTGAGGAGAGAGAGAGCGCGCGCGCGAGTATAAGTGGGGGAGGGGCAGAGAGAGAGAGAGAGAGAGAGAGAGAGAGAGAGAGGGAGAGACACAGAATCTGAAACAGGCTCCAGGCTCCGAGCTGTCAGCACAGAACCCATCGCAGGGCTGTAACTCAGGAACAATGAGATCATGACCTAGGCCGAAGTCCACGCTTGATTGGCTGAGCCACCCAGGTGCCCCTTGATTGCAGCACTGTTGACATTCTGGACTGGATGATTTTTGTGAGGGCTGTCCTATGTGTTGTAGGATCTCCCACATGGTGCCAGTAGAACCCCTCTCCAAGTGACAACCACAAATGTCTCCAGACATTGCCAAGTGTTCTCAGATGAGAACCATTGCTTAACTACCCACTCACAAGGCGGTGATATCCACATCAGCCAGAAAGGCTGCAGCCCCTGAACTCCTGCAGTCCTGAGGCTGCGGACAGAGGAGCTAGTGAGCCAAGGCACCGGGACAGTTAGGGCTTTGGTGGCATAGTGAGTGGGAGCTGCCAGGAAAGCAGCATATGGGGATGTCCCAGGCCTCCAAGACTGGTCAGTGAAGGAGCTGAGTTGTTCTTACTCATCTGTCCATCCTCTCTGCTCGTCTGGCCTGGCTGTTGAGACCAGAGCACTTTGACTCAGTAACAGAGTAACAGTAACTCCAGGGCCAGGCTCAGATGGGCCATGGTGATTAGTGCAGGAGCCTTGGAACCAGGTGTTTGGGCAACACCGAAGGAGGGGGTTAAATGGGAGAGGCCAAAGGTTCTGACTCTCTTTTTCAGCCCAAGGAAAGAAAGTCATAGTGAGAAATTAGACTGAATGAGCCCCTGATTTGTGAAATAGACTCTCCACACTCTTGCCTGTAGTGTCACAGCAAATCAGTTAAGAGTGTGAGCTCTCAGGTGCCTGGCTGGCTCAGTTGGTAGAGTGTGTGACTCGATCTCAGTGTTGTGGGTTCGAGTCCCACGTTGGATGTAGAGATTACTTAATAAAATCTTAAAAAGAGAGAGAGAGAGAGAGAGAGAGAGAGAGAGAGAGAGAGAGAATGGGCTCTGGACCCAGGCTGTCTGTTTCAAACCCTAGGCTCTGCCACTAAATGTCTGTGTGACCTGAGGCAAGTTACTTGCCCTCTCTGTGCTTTAGTTTCCATTGTCAAAATGGGGATGACAGCTAGCACCTACCTCTGAGGGTTGTTGGGAGAATGAAATGAATGATTAAGTGTTTAGAACAGTGCCTGGCACACACATGCTGTGGAAGTAAGTGTTTGATAAATAAATTTCTGACAATCCTTCCAGGTAGGAATTATCCTCATTTTGCAGATCAAGTTGAATGAGCTAGTAAGAGGCAGAGCTAGGATTTGAACCCAAGCTGATCTGACTGTCCAGACCTGTGTTTTTTCACATGGCTTTAGGTATGAGATGGGAAGTGGGGTCAAGTCTGTGGCCTGGGTGGGACATGCTTTACATCATAAGGCAGCTCTGGACAGTGCCCCCTCTGTCCTGTTGTAGAGACCTGAGCAATGGCTGTAGCCTGGAAGTAGGTGGATGGCCACCCCAGTGTCCCACTGTCTGAGCAGGTGAGGGCTGCTGCTGGAGTCAGAGACAACCAGGGTCTTTCACTTACTATCTGAGCCGAGGCAGGGACTGTCACGGTGTGGACCCCATGGGCACTGGCTGGTGGAGGGAATTACCTGGCAGACAGACAGCTGCGATGGCACCTGAACTAGGAAAAGGCGCTGGGTCCCAGACGGGCAGGAGGAGGAAGGTAGCAGTGGTCAGAGATGCTAAGGAACACAGCCCTCACGTGGACAGCTTGGGAGGGTCAGTGACAGGGGAGCCTGCTGGGGGAAGGCCCAAGTCTGCCACTACCCTCCTTGTCAGCCTTTCTGGGCCTTCCTGCCCTGACTTTTGAGACCCGCCGTCTGTTCCTGGGCAAGAGCCCTGGGGGATTCTGAGGCATGTGGTCTGTGAACTGCACTTGGAAACACTGCCTTAAACAACATGCTTCCCTCTATGGACCTCAGTTTCTTCATCTGTAAAATGAGGAGGTTGGCTTATGTTTCTTCCACATGTAGAAACCTGATTTAGCCCCCGTTATGCCTCATGTTGGCACCATTTGTCCAAGCACTCTGTGCACATGGCCTCATTTACTCTCTGAGGCGTTAAAACACGTATGTTTGGATCCATGGTCACAGGGTGAATTTGTGGCCTGGTCAGACCCCAAGACTCCTGCATTGCCTACTTTGGGTCCATTTGGGGTAAGCCCTGACCCCAATCACCCCCTCCGCCCCTTCTCTCTCCTTCAGGTCTCAGCCTCCCCAGATCCCAGCTCTCCTAGGGAAGAGGAGAGGACCCCCCTACTCCCCAGAACCCGCCTCCAGGCAGGGCCACGCCAACATAGGCGCCGGGCTCTCAGTGAGCCAGCAGCCCTGAGCCTGGACAAGGCGTCCATGCCAAGGACCCTGGAGGACACTCCCTTGCTGCTGGAGCTGCAGAAGCTGCCAGGATTGGCCAACACAGACTTGACTGCCCCAAACCCCAATATCCAGGTGAGAGCTACAGAAGGGCATAGGCCCAGTGGACACCTAGAGAGGAACTGGGCTGACCGGCTCCATCCTGAGGTCAGGCGTCCCCATCCTGTATTCCTTGGAGGGCGGGGGTTCTTTTGGGGTCACAGAGTAGTGGGGGCTGCTCCTCTACTTCCCAGCTGCGGGCCGAGCAGGGCATGTGGCCCTCTGAGCCTGTGTTTTCCAGTCCATAGCAAAGGAGAAACAGCACCAGCCTGGTAGGGCTGTCATGAAGACCCAAGGAGTGGGGAAGCTTTGTGGATGGCAGGGCCTTCTAGGGAAATGGGGAAGGGGCGACTTGTGGCCCCTACCCAGGCCCAACCCTTCCTGCAGGGTTGGTTGAGTGCAGAATGGGGTGGGCTCGTGGTAGGGGGCTGCCCGCCAGAGGGGCTTTGTGGAGCCAGTGGGATTCCAGTTTACATTCTCCACTGCCAGTCCTCAATCCCTGATGATAAGAGTCCTGCATTTTGTGCAGCACCTACAGTTTGCAAAACACTTTCATCAAAAGAGAAAAGGCAACGGGGAAGTGTAGAAACTAACATTCTAAACTCGTTTAAGAGTTTGTGTGTATGCGTGTGCACGCGCGTGCATGTGTAAAACCTGGAAGTTTAATTATCAAAATGTTATTTGTCAGAGATGGAGTGGGGGCGATTTTAATTTTTTTCATTATATTTTGCTGGTTTTCCCCCAAATTGTGTTCGGCGATCTCGTATTATTTTATAATAGCCAAAAACAATGTTTCAAAATTCACTTTCATGTAAATGATTTCATGTTACTTATTTCCCATCCACAATGTGGTGAATGAGAGCCCCCCCCCCCCCGCCCCACCCAGGGCTGCTGTGGGACTTTGCTCTCTTTGCTATCATTTTCCAGCCCTACAACGAGACCCAAGGCTGTTAGTGGCCCCTAATTCTGGGCAGCCTGCAGCAGAGTTCACAGCCAGCTTCTCTTAAACTAGTGGGTCTCTACCCTTGGCACATGTTAGAGCCACCATACCTAGCCCCACCTCAGATAATTAAATTCATGTCTAGGGTTAGGTCAAGGAGTCTGGAATATCCAGGGGATTCTGATGCACAGCCAAGTCTTAAATTGTGACCCCGTGTGCCCTGGGAGGCCAGGAAGGTTGGCCAAGAGAATGAGCTGGTTTGGAGGAAAGGTTGGTCCTCTGCCCCTGCCCCCACACTTGTCATCTCTCCTCTCCTTGGAGCCTTGCTCTGAGCACTCCTTCACTGGCTGGCCTGTGTCTGACCCTCTGCAGGTGACCATCGAGGTGGTGGAGGATCCCCAGGCGGAGGTGGAGATGGACCTATTGGCTGAGCCCAGCAGTCGCTGGCCCCAGGGTGCCTCTAGCTGGCTGTCCGCCAAGGAGCTCTTCTGGCCCCTATTCTGGAGCTACCTGGAGGGCGAGGAGGGGAGGACCAATCTCAAGGGCAGAGCCCCAGGGGAAGAAGAGGAGGAGGAAGAAGTGGAGGAGGAGGATTACCCTGCAGAGTATAGTGAGAGTGAGGACCAGGAGGACAACGAGGAGGAAGAGGAGGAGGAGGAGGAGCCTGGGTTCAGTGGGGCCACAGGCAGCTGGGAGCAGGGCTGGCTGGCCCCTGGGGACTGGGCCTTCAAGGAGCCAGACGGCTATGGTGAGCATCCCCACCTTGGCATCCCCGGCTGCTGCTTCTGGAAGTTCTGAGAGTAACTGGGGCTAAAGGGAGGTCTGAGAGCTTCACCGAGCAGGGGCAGCTATGAAGGCCAGAAGCTTAGGCCTGTACAAACACCATCATCTGCTAAATAGCAACATTACCCATAGCTTGCAAAATCTGTTTTTCCCCCAAACATTTGACCTTCACAACAGCCCTGAGACCCCCTAAGCAAATCGACGTTTGTTAATTTTATATATATTCATAGCTGTCACTTTCCAACAAATTGGGAAATATGGTAAACCCCACCACTCATAACTGACCTCATTTTCAGATTGTGTGGGCTTGAATCCTGGCTCTGCTGCTTACCAGCTGAGTGACCTTGGGCAAGTTACTTAACCTCTCTATGCCTAATTTACTTCCTCTCTAAAATGGAGAATGGCACAACCCTTAACTACATAAGATTGGGCGTAGAGGGTATTGAGTTAATACATTTAAAGTGCCAGCATGTAGTAAACTAAGTATTGGCTGTTTTTATTATTTTTATTAGAAAACAACATAGCACAGACTATCAGAAAATACCACCTAACACCTGGCCAGCTCCCATGACAGCCATTCTTGTTGTCGTTCAGGTTTTCCTGGGTACAGACGTGTTTCATGGACAGTTAAGCCATTCTCCCTAGAGCCCTGGTATTTCATCCTTGGACAGTGGTGCCATCATTAAGACTAAGGCATAGCAGGCTTTCACCAAAATGATGTAAATTGGCAGTTTTCATGCCTTTCAGCTTTTCTTCCATTAATTTTCCTTAAACTCTTGGTGCCCACCTGCTCCGGCCTGCCTGGGAAGTGAGGAGAGAGCTGGGTATGTCAGTACTTTGGGGGTTCCACAGAGCCCCCTGGGTCTCAGCCCTGCAACAGCGAGAGAGAGATCTGAGGGTGCAGTCATGGTGTATTTCAGGTTCCTCAGACCAGGTCTTGGTCCCTATCATGGAAAGTCAGGAGTTCCCTTCATGTCCCCAGTGCTGGGGAAGTGTTATCAGCCTTGGTTTTAATTGACATAAAAATTATAGGTCAGAGGAGCGCCTGGGTGGCTCGGTTGGTTGAACATCTGACTTCGTCTCAGGTGATGATCTCTCTGTTTGTGAGTTCGAGCCCTGCATCGGGCTTGCTGCTGTCAGTGCAGAGCCCACTTCGGATCCTCTGTCCACCCTCCCTTCTCTGTCCATCCCCTGCTCTCTCTCTCTCTCTCAAAAATAAATAAACATTAAAAAATTACAAAAAAAAAAAAAACCCTCTAGGTCAGAGACGTAGGGGTACTTGCCCAGGGTCACATTGACAGTGGTCAGGTAGCTTCCAGCCCCAAATATCTTTTTCTCTTCATAGCTGTGTTGGCACAGAGTGGGTGGCTGGGATTGTTGCTGTGTCTGTAGAGCCACCTGATGATTTACATGGGTGTCCACCATGCAAGGGTCCCTGGCTGAGGGACAGGTGGGGGCTGAAGTCCAGCCCGTGCTTCGTCCGCTAGGCTGGGAGCCCTGGCACGGATGGCACCCTCCTGAGGAAGGGGTACCCTTAGCTAATCTGCACCAATGCGCCCTGTGGGCTGTGCTCACTCACCCCTGGCTCCCTGCCTTGACCCAGACTATGAGCTTCAAGAGGAGTGGAGCCCCTGGTCTCCCTGCAGTGGGAGCTGCGGCAGCGGCAGCCAGAGGAGGACTCGGCCCTGCGGCTACGCCTGCACTGCCACCGAGTCCCGTGCCTGCGACCTGCCCCTTTGTCCTGGTGAGACGAACCCCAGCTCCTACACAGGCAGAGGCTTACACTCTGGGCTTGGCCCCCTGGGAATGTGGGCCTTGTTTGAGGGTGGGGCCTGGAGAAGGGACGCAGGAAGCTTATAGACACGGTGGTTCTGCCTCGTCCCAGGCCTAGTCCAGATGCTGTGGGCACCGAGAGCCTAATGAGGGCTGGGCTTCCCCACTGGGAGCACAGAGGTGCCCTGGGGCCCCACCAGCCTGGCCTCCTCTCTTCCTAAAGGCACTGAGGACAAGGACCCCTCGGGCTTCCCCGGTGAGGGGTGGCCGCCCCTGGCCCACAATGCTACGGACATGCTCAACCCAGGTCAGTGGGGAGCTAGGCCCTGCTCCTGGGGGCTTGGGGAGAACCTCTCTCGGGAGGGTGGAGCATCACTGCACAGGAGGAATCTCACCCCCATCCACTGAGGCAGAGTACATGTTCCAGCTGGAAGATTAGTCTCCCCAGCAAAGAGGCCCTGTCATTTCTGAGTCCCTGTCATTTCTAGCCAGGCCATTGGCCTTTCCCAACCTGATATTCCTGCTGGGAAGACTGTCCTGATGGGAGCCACTGAGCTTGGAGATCCACCTGGTGGGGCATATTCTCCCTGGCTGCGGGAAGGGATGGCGACATTCTGGCTTCCATTCCCGGGTGCTCTTGGAGGCTCCTGGGTAGGCTCTGTGTGGGAAGGGGTGCCGTCAGAAACAGTTTAGGGACCATAATTCCAGGACTGCTCCTTCCAGCAGTTTGGAGCAGACGGTACTTTCACTGGGACATTCTGCATCTCTGTCTCTTGGTGTCACTTGCCCCTCACAAGGAGGTAGGCAGCTGCCAACAGGCCCCCTCGCGGGTGGGACCTATGGTCAATACTGTGAAGCTCCCTGAGCTGGCGTGGTGGGCCTGGCACCGTGCAGGGCAGGGGTTCCCAGAAGACTAAGGCCCGGGATCTGCCTTCAAAGAGCTCGGGTGTTAGAGGGAGAGACACACACGACCAACTTGAGCGCAATGCTGCAGAGTGTGCCCCAAAGTTCTGGAGCGAGGAGGAAGGAGCCATTCCTTCTGCGTGGCCAGAGTCAGCGGCCACATTCCCAAGGTAGAGAGAAGGGAGGAAGACAGCATAGATGGAGGGGGTCACAGCGGGCAGAGGTGAGAGTGGGCCAACACGCTTTTTTACCAGTTGCTTAAAACAGCGGTTCCTGCGCCCGACCACCCCAGCTCCTTCCCCAAGACCCCAGATCTTCCCCACCATCCAGCACATAAAGGGACAGCACCTGGCACTTCAGACAGCCTCCAGGCTCCTCCTCCAGCCCCTTGGCCAACATCCATTCTGAGCCGTAGCCTCTGGCTCCAGGTTTCCTGGGTGGTTGTGTGGTAGCCCTTATCTGGCAACAGAGGAGGCCAAGCTGGGCTGCACTCAGCTCCGCTGAGGGGCCTTCTCTCTCCAGGCATTGGCCCTTGATCAGCCCCCACCCCACCGCGGGGCTGACTGGCTCCCCTCCCCTCTGCAGATGTGGATAGCTGTGAGAAGTGGCTGAACTGCAAGAGTGACTTCCTAGCCAAGTACCTGAGTCAGGTGCTGCAGGACCTGCCCAGCTGCCCATGCGCGTACCCGCTGGAGGCCGTGTACAGCGCGGTGAGCCTGCAGGATGAGCACCGGGGCCGAAGCTTCCAGTGGAGGGATGCCAGCGGGCCTCGAGAGCACCTGGACGTGTACCAGCCCACGGCGCGCTTCTGCCTGCGCTCGCTGCTGTCCGTGGAGAGCAGCACCCTGGCCGCCCAGCACTGCTGCTACGATGCGGGCAGCCGGCTGCTGACTCGGGGCAAGGGCGCCGGTGCGCCTGACCTCGTCAGCACTGACTTCTCGCCCGAGCTGCACTTCAAGGTGGACACGCTGCCCTGGATCCTCTGTAAGGGGGACTGGAGCCGCTACCACGCTGTGCGGCCTCCCAACAATGGCCGGGCCTGCGCCGACAACCCTCCCGAGGAGGAGTACCTGGCCCAGTTGCAGGAGGCCAAGCAGTACTAACCAGGGGGCTGCTGTTCTGGAGAAGATTCCCCTGCACAACCCTCACCCTGCCTCTGCCCAGACCCCGTGAGGCCGGCTGGCCTGGTGCCGCGGGCCCTCTGCTTGTGAACCCAAGGCAGGTCAGCACCCCAGGTGTCGGTGTGGGGCTGGGGACAGGTCGAGGGGTGTACAGGGCCCAGGCTGAGGGAGGGAGCTCAGCCCCCAAGGTCTCTGGGTGATGGGGGAGGGGGGAAGTGTGTGTCTGTGGGGGCTGCCCTCTCCTGCCCCCTGGGAGGTGCTGTCCCAGCCTGGCCACTCATTTTCCTCCCTCTCCCTCTGAGCTGGGCTCTTCCACCCTGGCTGTGGGCACACGTCGTGATTCCCAGGGCCTGTGGTGCCACAGCTGCATTTTGTCAGGCTGGCAGCCAGCCTAGCAGCCAGCCCTCTTTATCTCTGATTGGTTGCGGGAGGCCCTCTTGCCCCACCCCTGCTGGGAGCCACCACAGACCCACACCGGGGCCCTAACAGGTTCCCCTCAACTCCGAGCTGCTTTTCAGTGGACACTACTTTGGTTAGGGCTGAAGTCAACCCGTGGGGCCCAGCATGGACAGACAGGCTGAGGTGGCCGAGACAGGGCCGGCTCCTGGCTGGGAATGGGTCAACCAATTCAGGTCCCTTTCTTTGTCCAGCAATCTCTGCTCTGTCCAGGTTGTAGGGATGTGCAGAACTGGATGGCACTGCCCTGAATGGACACAGCTGCCAGGTCTGGGTGGGCTCAGAACAGCTCAGGAGGATGTGCACCATGGTGAGCTGGTACACCAGTTCTCGGCTCGGGGTTGGCGGCAGGCAAGCCCAGATTTGGGCAGTTTCTGTGGTGTTTGTAAAGGCTCCCGCCATGGCCCACTTGGTGCTCCTGAGGTGATGTCATTGAACGCACTGAGCTCAGAGCTGGGAAGAGATGCACATAATTGGCTCACCTAGCAAACCTGGTGCTTCTTCCCTGCCTTCCTCACTCCCAAAATCTTACTTCCTTGCCTTGTGTGGGGTTGAAGGGCTGAAGTCCCCACCATCCTGTTCACAAAAGCTCCAAAAGGTGGGAACTTCAGCCCCTAGACCGCCACCCTGAAGCTCTTTGTGATCCTCAGCAATAAAGCACTTTATTTTCAAATTCTGTCTGATGAAGAATTTGGAGCCTCACCAGAGGTGTAGGGAGCCCTGTGTACAGCCCAAGCCAAGCCCCCATGGTCATGTTTGTGACTCCTTAACCTAGCCGGGCAGCCAGAGCTCCTGGGATACAGAGTTTAGATGTAGATGTGAGTTATCCCTACTCATACTTGTACAGGGTTTCCTAGGAGGTACGGACCTCAGAGCACATTTACTAGTTCTTGGGGAACAGGAAGACTTCCAAGGCAGAGGTCAATTAGCATGCACTCCAGAGGAAGTGGCCCTATTTCCCCAAGTACCTTGCTGCAAGTATGGGCAGAGTTGCCCAAAGGACTACCTCTATAAGATGACAGAAGTGGACCTGTACCCTGCCTTGATTGCTACCCTTAACAGACACTGCACTGTCACTACTGGCATCTGGGGAAGGACAGAGACACATCAGGAAGTAGGATGAGGCAAGGTATGTCCAGAGCCACCACCTGGAGACGCTCAGAGAACCAGATATTTCCATAACCATCACACCTAGAGGTAAGTTTATTAGTCTGGTCCTGGGCCACAGTCTAAAAATACTCTGGTGCAACTAAAATATTACAGGGCCAGAGAGGGCAGGATCTCATCACCAGATGGGATCCAAGTTCCCTCCCATTCTGTTGTCTGGGAAACTCAACATTAGTACAGGCATAATTTAATTATCTGTTAGCAGAAACTGTGTGTGTGTGTGTGTGTGTGTGTGTGTGTGTGGGTGTGTGTATTTATTTTGAGAGAGAGAACACTAGTGGAGAAGGGACAGAGAGAGGAAGAGAATCCCAAGCAGGCTCCACACTGCCAGCGCAGAGCCCCGACTTGGGGCTCAATCTCACAAATCGTGAGATTATGACCTGAGCTGAAATCAAGAGTCAGACGCTTAACTGACTAAGCCATTCAGGTGCCCCGGCAGAAACTTTTTTTTTATAAGATAAAAATGTCCTAGAGTCTTTTTTCACAGGAATCTGCTAATTCGCCTCCTTTCTAATATAACTCACCTTAACACTTGAACACACTGTCTAAATTTAATCTATACCTAGTGGTTGTCTATTACCCAAAAACTGAGTTTAGCCAGCCACATTTTTGATCTGTAAGTGACATGGGAAATTGCTACCATCTCAGACCACAGATGACAGAAGATAAAGGCGGTTTGGAAAGGAGTCTTGAAGAGGTTGGAGAGCAGGTGAGCTATAAAATAGTGTTTATTCAAACTCTACAAAGGAGAAAGAGGCACTGTGCAGGTGACTTTGGGCTCAGGGAATAGGTGTGTGTGAGGAGAAACAGTGATGGAGAGGTCACTGATCCTGTTAAAGGGAGGATTTTAGGAGCGGCCAGGACCGGAATCAGGCGGGGGCCCTCCCCCGTTTGGGTCCAGTGTTAGTGAGGTAACTGTCTTGCCTAGCTGTTCTTACTTTTCCAAACACCAGCCCTCGTGGCTGCACACCCAGCACGAACACCACCACGATTTCTAGTTTAGCTGCCCGTCATCAGGATGGCTTGCCCAATTTGTCTCCATCTGGTGTACCTCATAAAGGGTCCTAGGCTAGGCAAGACTGGTCAGATCGAATTCTTACTAGGGTTTAAAGCAACATAGTACGTCCCTTCCAGATCCTGCTGACTTCCTTTGTTGGAAGATAGAATGTTTTCAGAGCCTTTGTCCTATTGTTCATGAGAAGGTCCCAAATGTGTTTCTTTGGCTCCTCCATTACAATTAGATTTTAACAGGTGGGGGTGCTTCTCAAAATGTGTCCTGACATCAGTATCACTTGGGGTATTTATGAAAATGTAAGTTCATGGGCCACACCCCATGCCAAGTAAGAATCTTTTAGGGGTGGAGTCCACATTTTCTGAATTTAACAGATTCCCCCAGATGATTCTTAGGTGAATCCTTGGCCTATGATTTGCAATTTAGCCAGCTAACTAGCTTTTCAAAATATTCTTGCTCAAGGGAGAACATTTGGGCCCTTGAGTCTGGAAGTCAGTAGGTACCATTACCTATGCTTCTATATTCGTCATCTCTAATGCTCTCATAAGGTACCTATTATAACCATTATACAGGTGGGAAAATTTGCCCCATTTGTTAGAAGTGGTATGATTCAACCCAAGTCCAACCAAGTCCACAGTTTTGTATTTAGCTCGATCTGCATTTTAGGCTCAAAAATGCTAGCAGCAAGGGGCACCTGGGTGGCTCAGTCGGGTAAGCATCCGACCCTTGATCTCAGCTCGGGTCTTGATCTCAGGGTTGTGAGTTCAAGCACCATATTTGGCACCACACTGGGCATGGAGCCTACTTAAAATGCTAGCAGTAAAATGGCAGTGGTAAAAATGGGAACAGCCATCATTAGTACTGGGGATGTCAACTGTTACTGAGCAGGTCACAGGAGAGTTCATTTGCCTGGTGCTTTGGTTTTTTTTAAGGTGTTTATAATCTCTACTTCAGATTTTTTTTTTTTAATTTTTTTTTTTAACGTTTATTTTTGAGACAGAGAGAGACAGAGCATGAACGGGGGGGGGATGGTCAGAGAGAGGGAGACACAGAATCTGAAACAGGCTCCAGGCTCTGAGCTGTCAGCACAGAGCCTGACGCGGGGCTCAAACTCACGGACCGCGAGATCATGACCTGAGCCCAAGTCGGACGCTTAACCGACCGAGCCACCCAGGCGCCCCCAGATTTCTTTTAAAGAACTCTAGAATTGGTTAACTCTCCGGCCAGGCATGAAAGGGCTCCTATTTTGTCACTGGTCTCTGTGTGAGGAAGAGGAGGAGTCTGTTAGGAAGGGTCCCTAGATTTGATTCAAGCTACAGTCCAGGTTCTCTATCAAAAGACTTCTTTTTGGACCCCCAAGAGGCAGATCTAATGCCAAATTAGATGCTAATTAGTCCACCATTCCTATGAGTAATTCAAGCCAAAAGTGGCTCTTGGGGGTCCAAATTATCCAGATCAGTACTGGTCTTTTGCTTTAACTACAATGTTTTGGCCAAGTCACCTTGGTAGGATTAGCCTGCAGGCCTCACTGCCACCTAATAAAACAAGCAAAAATAGATGAAGGAAATAGCTGTGCCTGCAGGAGGTAGCATGTCTGGATTAGAAGGCCCTGACTCATACTGGGACACAGGGCACCAGGGCAGGGCTTGTGTGGGAAAGCAGCCCTCCCTGTTCAGGTAGTTACTTCTGCCACGTGGTGGCCTGAACTCCAGTTGAACATACCCCCGCCCTGTGGTCAGTGCTCAGTAAACTTGTTTAACGGAACCAGGTACTTAAAAAATACTTGACCAGGATATTCGTATCTTCCTCTTTCTGGGAGTACTAAGAGGCCTGGCATTTTTTTACTCCAGGAGGGATGCCTAACACACTAGAAATACAGCAGCCTCTTTAAGCAGATGAACCCAGCAACAGGGCAGTAGACATAGTGGTTTAGACTGGAGCACTGGCTCTGCAAGTTCCAGTCCTTCTCAACTCTTGCAAAGGATCAGCTGTACGATCTGCGAGGTTACTGAAGAAAAGCAAGACTTAGATTTTTCTAAGACAGAAATGCAGGTAGTAGCTTTTTCATAAGGCTATTATGGGGGTTAAACGAGCTAATGCAAGGGGGCTACTTAGTCTCCAGTACATAGAACTGCTCAGTAAGCAGAAGCTCTGAACCTGAGGTCCACAGTCCCCCCTGCCACAGGGCAGGGGATCTTCCCATGTTATCAAACCAGCACCTGGTGCTCGTCTCTTCTTGCAAAGAGGCCACACAGAGAGGCAAGCCTAGGGTGCAGTTTCTTGGCACCGTTTACTCCCGAGAACCCTGCCTTGTCTTCTCGCAGTGAGGGGAGCAGCTCTGTGCCAGTCTGCAGAAAGGAGACTAGCTCAGGAATGCGGTGAGGTGGTTTCTTTCCTACCTCCTAATTACCTGCCCTTACCCAGAATGGTTTTCCCTTTAATTCAGTGTCTTCAAGGGAACTCATTAATACCAGCCACCCAAGCAACACAGGTTTCCAGATATGCACGTTTTTTAAATTACGTTTATTTAGCGTATGTACACATAAAAGAGAAATCACCCTCTGATCCCACCCAGCAGAAAACATGCACAAACCCAAGATATACGTGGAGGGAAGGGGCCCCAGCCCCAAGTTAGTGGTTGGGATGGTGCAATCCTGTGAGTCCCAAGCCCCAGTCAGGAGAGGGCTGGACTGAAGCACTGGGCAGCCCCTTGCTGCCAGCCCTAAAATAAGCGTGCGCCGTAGCCAAAGGTCTGTTTGATGCCCTCAAAGTAGTACCGCTGCCAACCCTGCCGCGTCCTCTCTTCCTCGGGGGCAGGGATGCCTCTGCCTTCCATGCACAGCTCAGTCTCTCCATTCTTGTCTATGAAGGTCAAGGTGATGGTGGCAAAATGCCCTGGGGAGAGGCAGAGGGGAGGGGGGTTTAAGATCCAGGGTTTCCGTCAGGGTTGGAGACTAAGGGGGAAAGAAAGAGTTCTGGGGGTAATGGCACTAAGCAACTATTCATACTGACCTTCTGGCCAAGATTTAAACCTCCACTTCATCACAATAAGTTTCTCAGGGACCTAAAATAACCAGAGAGATCAGTGTGTACCGTAGACTCCAATGCGCCAGATCCTGGCTGGGACCAGCTGTCTGTCTGTCATTCGGCCTACGGTCTGTGCAATTCTACACCTCAGGGGCACAGAGTGGACCGTGGAGTTGGTAGCATCTGCACCAACACAGGCTACAGCCTTTCCTCTCACTCCCAAGTCCAGTCTGGTCAACTGTGCCCAGGTGACAGTTCAGCGCTACAAATGGAAAGTTACCAGCCGCCAATATACGTGACCTCTCTTCCATGTTTGATTTCTTCAGGGAGAACTAATTTAACTCTGAGGAGAAAAATTCTAGGAAAGCAAGAGAATTCAACTGCAACATTCTTTTGAAACTACAAAAATGAGGTTTTACTAACCAGAGAGATTGAATTTTACCTACAGAGCTGAAAAAAGGAATGTT